AACACAGTCCTTTAGCACAAACAACCCATTTGCTGTCAGAGCCCTCTCCAATGTCTCTCCGCCTTTCTGGATCTCACAGTAACCCCAAAACAGCACTACAAACCCACCTTTCAGTAGACAGGAGATGGGCATCAGGTTGCTCCTCAGCGAAGGAACACACAAAACGTTGTCCAGATGCGTGCGTAGACAGGAGACAAACACAGAGCCACCCGACTCCACGTCAGATTTCCTCCCGTCAGCCAACACTACCTGGCTCCGTGGTGTAGCAACCTTCTTGGCAAAAAACGCCTCTGATACAACAACATGCTGGGAACTCCCTGAATCGATGATCCAGGTGTTTTGCCGTTCATCAGAACACTTGACCATGGGCGTCACAAGTTGCGCCGTCTGCTTCTTCTTTGCAAACTTCTTCTGCTGCTTGCGCTGCTTTGGACCCTCAGATACGGCCTCCTCCGGACACTGCTTCCTCAGATGCTGAGTAGAACCGCACTGGTAACAACGCTGAACAGCAAATGCAGCCTCTTCGCCAGCCGTAGCTCGGGTACATTGTTTAGGCTGTTTTTCTTCAGAAATGCTGCCTGCATTCCTCACAAGCCGATTGCTTGGCAAAGCACTTGAGGCCGACAACTCCTTGCCGTCGCGCCTCTGCCATTCTTCCAGCAGCCTGCCAGTGACATAATCCAGAATCAGATCTTCTTCACGCATAGCTTCCAGCGTGAGAATGAGATTGTCCCAGTTGTCAGGGAGAGAACTTAGGATAATGCAGACCTTTTCCTCCTCAGGAAGATTACAGCCTCTCTCCTGAAGTCCCACAAACTTCAGCTGCAAATCGTGGAGATGGTCTTACATTGTAACTCCTGGTTTTAGCTCAGACATATACAGAGTCTTCCGGATAGACAGCTTCGAACTAGCCGTCTCCCGAATGTGGAGATTTCTCAGCACCAACCACACATCTCACGCAGAATCGAGCCCATGCACATGTGGCAGCTGCAAATCATCCAGTCTCAGGATTATTGTGGCTTTTGCTCTTTGGTCTCTATCTTTGTCTTCAGCATCAGGCTTCAAAGGCGGTCTGTCCACCGACTCCCAGAGAAACTCTCTCTGCAACGTAGCCTGCATGCGCTGAGACCATAGCAAATAGTTATGGTTGTTGAGCCGTTCAAATGGCATCGGAAATGGAAAAGCCACTGCTTCTGAGCAGTGTTCCACAGCAAACAGGAACCAGCAGCTTACAACTCCAGAGAGTGATCCGGAACATCCAGCTTCCAAACATTACAGCTGGTGTCTGTCCTTAGCTGCTCCAAACGTTCACACACCCAGGACACCCAGGTCTTGCCGCGTCAGCTTCTGGCGTTGAGACACACACGACACAGCTACTGCTGATCACCTCCGGCCAGTCCTCGCCAACTCCTACGCTAGGAATCTGGGAGACTGTTGACCCAGGCGTCCACTGCTTCAGAACTCGCTGCAACCAATCTGCGCCAATCTGCTGTCCATAACCTATTGGCAAAACCTATTTGGTGTTTCGCAACTTTCTGACTAGTTGCAGGACCTTAGCCAGACCTAGCAGAGTACACGCAGAATCCACGAAAGCAATTGGCGACTTGGCTGCAGATAGGATAGACGAAGCAGGAACCAGGAACTTGTAGTTAGGTGTTTATTATATAGAGTGAACTATTTACAGGAACAGAACATGGATCTTTTGCTAGCTCTCTCTGACACGACTCACAACTCCTACACTCACTGACACACTGCACCACAAACTACCAGTTAGTAGGCCATTAATTATCACTCCCTTGAGAGAGCTTGACCAGTCAGGGAGCTGTCTCCATACCTGTTATCACCAGGCAGACTTACTCCTTCAGACTGCCTTCTGGCTGTCTGCCAAACCTTAATTGACTCTGTGTGAGTAGCTGCACATACAGTTTCCCAACAGTCTATGACATCTATAAAGCCTTGTCTCTTTCAGCAGGATATGGTGCAGCACTTTGGTATTTTCACTGGTTGCTGTTCATGCAATAAACACAGTAATTTATCTTAGGAGATTTATTTGTGGAATGTCTTTTTCAGAAGAGTGCAGAATTCTTATTCCCCAGCGGGTGTCGCTGTTTGAGATTCAGTCGTTCCGTCTCTGCGGTTTTTGCTCCCCTTTTCTGATCAGTGTCAGCTTTAATCAGTTTATTTCTGTTCCTCAAGCCAGGCAAATGTCGGTCTAAAAAAATGTCTGGTTGCATGAGTCAGCAAAGGTATTTTTAGCCGTTGTTAGTTTGATTTATATTCCGTTGAGCGTCCGTACCTATCCAGAGCTAAAATCAAACAGCAACCACAACAGGGAGAAATAGCAACACTTCATGGGAGAGGGGAGGCTATGTTTATCAGTCTTATAACAGTTTTATCACTTTGTAACCGATCCCCTCTCAGTCATTGCCATTCTCTGGGAGCCTCTGATTCTTATACCCCTTTTGCCAGGGTTTGCAGACAGTTGGAAACTAATTTATCTGTACTGAAACGTTTTGGGAACCCTTTTATATTTTCTCCTCTTGGGAAGGGTCTTCTTTTATTTCTTCTTTCTTACATTTGGTTGCTTTCTGTTGCAACAATAGTAAAGCCACAGGTGTTCTTTTTGTTCATAACTCCAGAAAGAAAAAATGGCTAAAACATTTTAGGTTTAATGGAATAGATGTCTTTCTTTTCCCAAAACAGTCTGTTATAGCTTGTAAGCAAATCTTGGTCAATTGCAAAAAGCCCTTTGGTTTCAAACACTTTGTAATTCCTTTTCAGTTAATGTTTTAATCATTAACTAACACGTTCACTAAGTAGACTCGGCTAATCATTTAGGTTTGCTTCAGTTTGTTTGAAGCGTAGCCACAGACATACCCACGGGCTCGGGCTTCTCATCAGCGGAGGGTCGCAGGAACTAGTGCTAAAGAAGTTCTTCCCTTTCTTGCCTTTCTAGCTCCACTTTTGAGAGCTTGAAAGTGGTCTGGGGGTCCTCTTCTCCGTGCTGTAGCAACGCCATATCGCCTCGGAACCTCCTTCCAAAGCTTTGGGGTTCGCTTAGCCTTAGCTTCCCCTTCTAGCTCCGCTGGCGAACGCGTACCTCCCGACTTTAGCAGAGCAGGAAAGACGCATCTGTCCGTGAGCAATGACCCGCACCACCCTTGGGCTTTCATGTGGTCACTTAAAATGGCTAGGCCCTGCTGAACCTCCTCTTCAGTAGGTCCTGATAACATAATATCATCAATGTAATGCGCCATAAACAAGGTAGAGTTCAGTATAACTTCCTTTAAGTCCCTAGGCACCACCCCATGGCATAGGGTGGGACTATGCATGTACCCTTGTCGTAAAACCTGGAAGGTGTACTGCCTGCCTTCCCAGGTGAATGCAAATTGATCCTGGGACTCTGGGGCAATTGCTATTGAGAAGACTGCATTGGCCAGATCAATTACGGCATGCCAGGTGCCAGCATGTGCCAGCATTTTTCTCTATTTGTTCCAATAAGGTCACTATGTCTGGCACAGCTACAGCCAGTGGCGGGGCATGCTTATTCAATTGCCGATAATCAACTGTCATTCTCCACGTGCCGTCTGGTTTCTTCAGTGGCCATACTGGAGAATTAAAAGGGGAGACCACTGGTCTTAGAACTCCCACTTCCAGCAATCCCTGAATGGTTTGTGATATCTCTTTATGCCCCCCCCGACAGTCGATATTGCTTTACATATACCACTTTGCAAGGTGGTGGTACTTTGCCCTTCCCAGCATTATGGCCCGAATCCCAAAAGAGAACTGACCCCATGGGGTTTGAAATTCTCTCCCTTTCAATAAATCTATTCCAATGATATATTCAGGTACATGAGAGACTAACACATTTGCCCAAAAGGGTCTAGACTTTCCCAAAGCTAGGCATACTGCCGCCTGAGTGGTACACTCTTCCCCATCCCCATAAGCATTGATATATACTGTGCCCCCCTGATGCTTATCGGGGTTGCCATGTATCAGGGTTACCTCGGCTCCAGTATCCATGAGGGCCATTACATGCTGCACATTTGTTCAAGACCAATATATGGTCAGAGGTATATGAGGGCGCTGATCTCCGGGGATGGCTGTCTTTATTAGCCTTACCTCCGGAGTCTTGCCACCCCCCTAATTCATGGGCTGAGGTATTATCCCTTCCAAGAGGGATAAAATGCCTCCTCTGGTGGGGCGGTTGGAACGGCTGGGGTGGCTCCCCATACTTGAGGATTGCTGTCTATCTCTCTATGACCATCAGCACACCTCTGCTTCCACATCTTATATATCTCCGCTGTTGCAATACCATCAATGTCTACTTTAGGCACCCCTGCCTTGAGAAGCTCCATGAACATTTGCCCCCGTGTTATCTTACTAGCCGGCCTCTTGGCTTGCCTACTCCTGACTTGTTGAAACTTCTCCCCCTCTCTTGCCGCATGTACCCGGGGCTTGGTAATATTTTCCCTGTGGACCTCTCCTAGTTGACTTAACAACACAACTACCTCCCTCACTGCTACCCCCTGTGCTGGTCCAAGCAGTGCTAACAGGGGACCTCGCATGTGGGGAGGGGCGCCCTTCATTACACGTGCTCTCATTCCTGCAGTAAAACGCTGAACATCCAGCCCTGCAAACCCTTGCAAGTAAAGTCCAGTCTGCATAGCCATCTCTCACAACTGCTCTAATGCTTCATCAATTACATCAATTGTATGCCATGGGGGCATCTGTTCCTCCCAGTCCATTGCGGCAGGGTATCTAGTCCGGACTGCATGTGCAACCCAATCAAATAAAGATACAGTGGCACTGGGGTTAGTGGTATGGAGGTATGGGTTAATCATTGTATCCTTGGTCAGTGTGCCCAATTTAATTAATTCACCTGCAGTGAAGTAAACACTGCTAGCTCCTTGGTCCCACAGTCTTACAAACCACTGACTCAATCTTTCCCCTGGATTCTGCCTATTGTTTCTTGCTACATCAGCTAACTCCTGCTGCATTTAATCTCTAACAATCCTAGTCGTTTGAGTAGTCTGTGGGTTACCAGGTGGCCCTTTGCTCTTATTTGTAATCAGCGGCCGTGCTGCAGCCACCCATGTACTTTCATCCCCTTCCTCATCGCCGGTCCATTCACACTCATCATCATCATCATCATCATCATCTGAATCCCGGATATCCCCATCCCAAGTCTCAGGGTTCCAATCCCTAGAGGCAACCAGAGCCCGTACTTTATGTGGGCTGGGGATAATCCCTTTTCTTGCCTGCTGGCGATGTTTTAACTGGGCAAACCGAGCAGCCATAGTAGTGGCCCGTCCTTCTGCTATATCCCCTCTTCTTCAGGCACTTCCCAGCGCTTCCCTCAAAAGGGCCTGCCGATCCTTCAGGACAGCCATCTCCTCTGTTTGCTGGCACACCCTCCCTTGAGTGCCCTCCAACTGTTCCCAAACCTCGCTGAGCGCAGTAAGCAGGACCCCTCCAAGCCCTATCACTGCCTTCTGCCCCTCCTTCTACTCCTGCCAACTGTAAACACTTGAGTGTCATGTGACAAAGACACATGAGAGCAGAAGCAGCAAAGAAGGCTGGGAAGTGCTGGGACTGCACAATCATTTGGGCCTTTTTTTTTTTTGTTTAGTCGTTTAGTCGTGTCCGACTCTTCGTGACCCCATGGACCAGAGCACGCCAGGCACTTCTGTCTTCCACTGCCTCCCGCAGTTTGGTCAGACTCATGTTTGTAGCTTCGAGAACACTGTCCAACCATCTCGTCCTCTGTCGTCCCCTTCTTGTGCCCTCAATCTTTCCCAACATCAGGGTCTTTTCCAGGGAGTCTTATCTTCTCATGAGGTGGCCAAAGTATTGGAGCCTCAGCTTCATGATCTGTCCTTCCAGTGAGCACTCAGGGCTGATTTCCTTAAGAATGGATGCGTTTGATCTTCTTGCAGTCCATGGGACTCTCAAGAGTCTCCTCCAGCACCATAATTCAAAAGCATAAATTCTTCGGCGATCAGCCTTCTTTATGGTCCAGCTCTCACTTCCATACATCACTACTGGGAAAACCATGGCTTTAACTATACAGACCTTTGTTGGCAAGGTGATGTCTCTGCTTTTTAAGATGCCGTCAAGGTTTGCCATCGCCTTTCTCCCAAGGAGCAGGCGTCTTTTAATTTCGTGACTGCTGTCACCATCTGCAGTGATCATGGGGCCCAAGAAAGTAAAATCTCTCACTGCCTCCATTTCTTCCCCTTCTGTTTGCCAGGAGGTGATGGGACCAGTGGCCGTGATCTTTGTTTTTTTGATGTTGAGTTTCAGACCATATTTTGCGCTCTCCTCTTTCACCCTCATTAAAAGGTTCTTTAATTCCTCTTCACTTTCTGCCATCAAGGTTGTGTCATCTGCATATCTGAGGTTGTTGATATTTCTTCCAGCGATCTTAATTCCGGCTTGGGATTCATCCAGCCCAGCCTTTCGCATGATGAATTCTGCATATAAGTTAAATAAGCAGGGAGACAATATACAGCCTTGCCGTACTCCTTTCCCAATTTTGAACCAATCAGTTGTTCCATATCCAGTTCTAACTGTAGCTTCTTGTCCCACATAGACATTTCTCAGGAGACAGATGAGGTGATCAGGCACTCCCATTTCTTTAAGAACTTGCCATAGTTTGCTGTGGTCGACACAGTCAAAGGCTTTTGCATAGTCCATGAAGCAGAAGTAGATGTCTTTCTGGAACTCTCTAGCTTTCTCCATAATCCAGTGCATGTTTGCAATTTGGTCTCTGGTTCCTCTGCCTCTTTTAAATCCAGCTTGCACTTCTGGGAGTTCTCGGTCCACACACTGCTTGAGCCTTCCTTGTAGAATTTTAAGCATAACCTTGCTAGTGTGTGAAATGAGTGCAATTGTGCGGTAGTTGGAGCATTCTTTGGCACTGCCCTTCTTTGGGATTGGGATGTAGACTGATCTTCTCCAATCCTCTGGCCACTGCCGAGTTTTCCAAATTTGCTGGCATATTGAGTGTAGCACCTTAACAGCATCATCTTTTAAAATTTTAAATAGTTCAGCTGGAATACCATCACTTCCACTGGCCTTGTTATTTGCAGTGCTTTCTAAGGCCCATTTGACTTCACTCTCCAGGATGTTTGGCTCAAGGTCAGCAACCACACTACCTGGGGTGTACGGGCCATCCATATCTTTCTGGTATAATTCCTCTGTGTATTCTTGCCATCTTTTCTTGATGTCTTCTGCTTCTGTTAGGTCCTTACCACTTTTGTCCTTTATTATGGTAATCTTTGTACGAAATGTTCCTTTCATATCTCCAATTTTCTTGAACAGATCTCTGGTTCTTCCCATTCTGTTGTTTTCCTCTATTTCTTTGCATTGCTCTGTTTAAGAAGGCCTTCTTGTCTCTCCTTGCTATTTTTTTGGAAATCTGCTTTCAATTTCCTGTATCTTTCACTATCTCCCTCGCATTTTGCTTGCCTTCTCTCCCCCGCTATTTGTAAGGCCTCGTTGGACAGCCACTTTGCTTTTCATTGGGATGGTTTTAGTTGCTGCCTCTTGTATAATGTTACGAGCCTCCATCCATATGCTATCAGTGTGGCAAGCTCAGGCACATGAAGAAAGATTGCCGTGTGGAAAACCCAGGAAAAGAGAGCGATCCATGTGAGACAGAAAAGCGGACACATTTCGTCTTGGCCTCTGCAAGGAAAGAAAAGAAAATTTCTCCAGACAGCTACATTTTGGACTCTGGCTCTGCCAGAATCATAATGAACAGCCCTGACTGCTTTACAACACTCAGCAAATTGCCAAAAGGCAAGGACAGCATTTGTCTTGCAGATGGACGGCATTGCCCAATATCAGGTATAGGTACGTGTTATTTGCCATGCCTAGATGCAGAATTGAAGGATGTATTGTTTGTTGAAGAACTAGAATTTTCTTTATTGTCAATTTCATGCCTTACCAATGTTGGCTTTGAATTTATTTTTGAGGGTGATGAATGTTCTATTAAGAAGCAGGGCAAGGTAATTGCTTCTACAAAAATGGTGGATGGCTTGTACTCTTTACAGCATTCTCCGCCCAGTGATGGGGTCACAGAGAGACCTATAGCTGGAAAAAATGATGTGTTAATAACTGAATGTCAGCAAAACTCTAATTGCCCACATAAAAACTGCATCCATGCTTTGCACAGAAAAATGGGGCATGCAAGTTTCAAATATCTAGAGAACATGCAAAAAATATGTAAAGATTTAAATGTTAACCAGTGTAGCACATACCTTGATTGTGCTATTTGCAAGCAAGCAAAATCAAAGTTGCAGCCAATACCAGGTAGAAGTGATAGAATTTCTACACATGCTTTGCAACTTGTTCATTCTGACTTAATTGGTCCTTTTCCAGAGAGTGAGGGAGGATCTAGATATGGCCTAATTATTGTGGATGATAAAACAAGGTATTCATGGCTATATCTATTGAGAAACAAATCAGAATGTGCTGATGCTTTTACGTCCTGGAAGGTATGGGCAGAAAGACGTTTTCAAAGGCCACTTATTCAACTCCAAACCGACCGAGGAGGCGAATATTTAAGTAATCATTTCCAGGCATGGCTTAAACGCCATGGAATAACGCATCATCCCACATGTCCAAATAGTCCCTGGCAAAATGGAGTTGCAGAGAGACGTGTGGGTGTCATACAAATGGTAAAGGACAGCTTGTTAACTGATGCTGGATTGCAAAATGATGCAAAGCTCTGGGGAGAAGCTCTCTTGACTGCCAATTTTTTAGTGAACCGTACTTTCACTACTGCCACAGGTGATTTTCCCTACAGAATGCTTTTTGGGAAGGAACCGGATTATGCAGGTTTACATGTGGGGGGGAGTTGGGCTTTTGTTCATATCCCCAAGTCTCCGAGACGCAAAGGCGAGCCTAAAACCAGAAAGCTAAGTTTCATTGGCTATCAGGGCTATTCTAGCAGGCATTATCATTTTGCTTTGGGACGTGGCCGAGTAGTCATTTCACAAAATGCTGAATTTGCTCAACAGGATAGGTGGGAAAAGGTTCATGCCAATCCTAGCATTTTAATTCCTCTCTCAGTACAGCCACAGGAGCCTCTCAGGCAGCCAGCTGCTGAGGAAAGGCTAAAAAGTTGGGAAAATTTACCTTCAGACACTGACACTTTGCAAAGTGCCACAAGCAGTGAATCAGAGGAACAACAAAATGATGAACTGGAGGAGCAACAAGAGAAGGAAAGCCCAGTGGTTATTCCTAGGAGGTCCACACGGACTACCAAAGGTATTCACCCTGATAAATTGACTTTTGGCGCAACAAAAGTGTGCCATGCTAATTGTACAGAGCCACAGGACTTTGCTCAAGTTCTGAAACTACCTTCTAAGGAACAATCCCAGTGTTGAAATGGAATACTCAGGATGAAACGGTGAAATCTGCTATGATTAAATGGGCACAAGATGTTGGACATAACATAATGATGGCTGACTGGGAACAGTTATTGACCACAGGCACGAAGTTTACGGCATGTAATGCCTTAAGAGAGAATATTATGAAAATGATTTACAGGTGGTACATGACACCAGTCAAGCTTGCAAAAATCTATCATTTGCCCGATAATAAATGTTGGAAATGTAGAGAAACTGAAGGTACATTCTATCACCTTTGGCGGACGTGCCCAAGGATTAAGGCTTTCTGGGAGATTATTTATAATGAAATGAAAAAGGTATTTAAATATACCTTCTTGAGTTGCATGAGACCTTGATGGACCATATGGATTACAACATGATTTTGATGGGAGATATGAATGGAGTGGTATCTACTTACATGGACAAGGCACAAAGACAGGTAGTCACCAAAGATGGTAGACTACCGAAAACTTTTTTTGACATGACAGACAACTTGGACTTAGTAGATATTTGGAGAATTAGAAACCCCTTAGCAAAAGAGGGAACTTTCTTTTCTGAAGCCAAAATGACTTGGACAAGAATTGACCAAATTTGGATAACTAGAGGAATGGCACCAAAGACAAGAAAGGTGGAAATCTGCCCGAAAATTTGCTCCGACCATAATGCTGTTAAGATGGAAATGAGACTAACACCAACTGGCTCCTTCAGATGGAAGATGAATGACACCTTATTTAGGGATGAAGAATTTCTTAAGAAGGCCCAAAAAACTCTAAGAGATTACTTCGAGATAAATCTTAGTTCCAACGTGGAGAAAAGAGTAATCTGGGACGCAAGTAAAGCTGTTATGAGAGGGTTCTTAATACAACAGAATGCGATAAAGAAAAGAACTCAAAATGAGA